AAACACATTATGTATATATACAACATACATGTATAATCTTTAAACCTGACAAAAAGAAAATAACTACAAAACGGTTTAATTGATGCGAACTTTATGCATAAATAAGCTTCATTTCATTTTCCGGGATCCTGTTCGTCGTTGTTTCTATTTTTTTTCTTTTCTTTTCTCTTTTTTTTTTTTTGGGGGGGGGGGAGGGGGCGAATTAATAACATTGTTTGGTTATATCACGTAAACGTCGATCGGTTAACCGTACATTTAACCGTACATTCTCAGACTATGTAGGCTATTATCCCACGTGATTTCAGAATCAGTGATGCGAGACAAGTAACCATAAGACACAATGTCAAAGATTAGTTGCCACGGTGAACTGGCAGTTGTCGCTTCGCTCGACGATCGGATCAGCGACCTATCTGTTGTCATCGAGAAATATTACCTCGCCAAAGGATTGAACCTACAAGTTAAGATATAAAAAGATCGGCAAGATATACCTTTTGAATATATCATTATATTTAAGAAACGACTGGAAGCAATATACCTTCTTTTATGTTGATTGTGTTTCATTTGAGGAGCTGTGTTATCAGAAAAAATATCTTCTTATACTTATAGAACAAGATTGTGCCAAGGAAATTATATCAATAAATTACAGCGTTCTGGGCATTTAATCAACTGTATTTTATTAGATAAGAGGAAGGTCTAAAGCATATGCAATGAAGAGATCCTTCACATTTTGAAAATGATATCTTATTAGTGGTGCATTTTCTGACCGACCGCTGTTATAGATTATTTATAACAGTCTATGAGATACTGTCTAGACGTGCCGAATTTTAGGACAAATGTTTAGCGTGGTAGTGTTTAGAAATTAATTGCGCTAAATGATATCAAAATCATGGTAGACGTATTAAAATCTGAAAGCACTTACCCGAAATAATGCAAGGTTTTACAAGCGACTTAAGAGAAATAATGGATTAACATAATTACTACATTTAATACATGTATTTCAAACGTTTGCTTATCATATGGCAAGTGTATGCTTACCGTATTCCACAAAAGAGAAATTTAAATAGCTGAAATTGTATTTAGCCTACTGTTTTATAATAATATTCCTATTTTTGCTACATATTGCATACGATTTACATATTACTATTTTATGTTTAGAATTGTAAACTTCTGTATAAAAGTGCAACATTTGCAAAACACTTCCAAGACTCATTTCGCAAATTTATAAGTAAATTATTGAGAATTTACCATTAATAAATAGAACTTTTTTCAACTTGATAATTGTGAAGTAAAACGCATTGTTTGCAAGAATGTGAATCCGGAGAAACAAAATTACTTTCGGAAATTTTCAATTAATGTCGTTATTAAATAATTACTTAAAATAGTAAACCTGTTAAAATATATGACTATAGACAAAATAAAACATAAATCATAAAAAATATGCAGCGAGAGTGTTTCCATTGCAAATCAAGTTTATTTAAACGATCCTTTTATTAAATGATCATGTCAAGGAAAAAAATTCGATAAGAGACAATTTTTTTTGAGAACTTGTAAGACAATGAACAATAATTCATGTAGATGGAGGACAATTTAGCAGATAATTCAGCGCAGCATACCCTGCGGATCTATCATTACTTTCAAGAAATGACTGGAAGTAGTATTCCTTCTATTACATGGAATATATTACTTTTTTAGGTGCCAAGATTGTTCTTCGGAAATGATTTCAATAATTTATAGCATTTCTGGTAATAAAACATCCCTATTATCAACTGCGGCCTCTCGGCATTTTCCGTTAGACTTCGGACAAGTACCTTAAAGAATTGTATATTTTCGTGTATCAATCATTCGCTACAAAATTTAAACAAATAAACAAAAAGTATAAAAATGCTGCTTTTTTAAGTTAGAATACTTGATTTATTTTCGTTTAAAAATGACTTACATTCAGTAAATTTATAGATATTAAAGGTAAAAAAGTATATTTAATGTTTAGATGTTCTTTTTTTTAATCCGAAAGTGCAAAATGTATACTTCTGATTTAGTTATAACTTCAATTGATTCTGACAGCCATACGTATATTTTAATCATGATATTACAGAACTATTCATAAGTTTCCAACCGGTGTTATTATGTAATAAAAACACTTGTTGCTTTGTTTTTGTCTACATCAAAAGTTACTTGGTAGAACTTTTTTCAATACATAATATCTCCAAAATGATTATAAATAATCGTCGAGGTTTTCATATTACTATATTATTATAATTATTATGAATATTATTTTACAGAACTCTTTTAAAAATAAAGAAGTAAGTTCTTCTGTATTTAGAAACTGATTTTGATCAGTTACGGATTTTCTGCACTATTCGTGTTATGAATTGTGTGTCTGTGCGTAGCTCAACGAAACAAAAAAAAGCGTTTGTGCCAGAGTATGTGCACGGATGTGCACCTGAGGTTATTATTCGCTAGTAAAAATGGGAAGTCGCCAAATGAATAAACTATGCTTATGCGACGTAAAATTACAGCAAAAATCAAAACAGAAGTAATAAAAAGACAAAATAAATCAAAGCTTTCCGAAACCTGAATGATTTGTTTGTTTGATTGGGTTTTACCTCACACCGACAGAAACAGTATATTAGGTCATGTGACGACGTTCCAGCTTTACTGGTGAAGGAAGACATCAAGTGCCCTTCCGTGCATTATTTCAGGCACAAACGGACACCAGAGTAGAACCACCGACGCCCCGTAAGCTACATGTAGCTCGATAGCTTCCTCTCATGAAAGAATCCAAAGTCCATGTCGGGATACGAACATGAAATGTGAATGGAAAAAAAATTCAAATTAATGTTATACTTATATGTACGAGGGTTGTCCCAAAAGTCCGTGACAAATTTTATAGACGGTTCATTTTTAGCGCCAATAGATAATAATTCACACAAATAATTAAACATTACAACAAATCATTTACAAAATATTCACTCTAGTTACTTAGTAATTTTCAGTATTAACGACATTGGTTTGAGGTGCCGGCGCACGTCAAATAATTTGCATTTTGTTATGAATAGCATATATTTCAATCTGATGATGTGTCTGCACGATGTCACTTTGACTTCCTCTGCTGCTATGTTTACATCATCTCAGAAAATTTTAGTTAAATAACTTAAGAAACGAACAAGATACGGATAAATAAAAAAATTCCTCATAGAAAATAGTAAAGTAAAATGGCGACGTTCGAAAGAATTTGAGGCGCAGTGAACAGGTCACTCAGGTTTCGTGACTATTTGGAGATGACTAATGTTACGATTTTTAACAAATATACCAAATATAACAGTTTAGCAACATATCCTAAGCCTATTTGTGTACAAAAGGCATGAACGGAACCAGAGTTCTGCGCTACAAAAAGCGAAAATAAGGAAAACACTAATAGGAAGACCGATCTCCGTCGCCTATTTTCTACAGCTAAAAACAGGTGCAACGAGACCGGAAGTTCGTGTATGGCAACAATAAATGTATGCCATACAAACATTCAAAATACATTAACAACCACATGATTTAAGTCTGTAATTGGCGATTTAGAGGTAAAGCTGCTATTATTGCATTGAAAGCCATTTAGAGTATTTGAGAAAGGCGCCTTATATAGATCTAACGCCGTCTTTGACGTTTGACGTGCGCCGCGATTCAGATAGTTGTCATGGTGTTTATGGCATACTTTTGTTGTTTGTTGATATTTTTCTATGTAAATTTGTGAAAAAGTTTCTATTATATGGGTTTATAACATATTAAAATATCAAATTCGTACCTATTCTATTTAGCTTTTAAACAATCTTGTCACATAATATTGGGACAGCCCACGTATATGCTTACAATTAAGTGTCTCTGCATTTATTTCTATAAGAAATATTTGTTTGAAATTGGAGGTGTAGATTGCAGTATTTATCTATTTTCTTAAGAGGTATGTTCCTCGGAAACTACTTGTTCATATCTCAGCAAGCTTAACATTAGGTTTTTAGGACATTTGATTAAGTTTAAAGTTTAAAGTTTATTAAACAAATGTAAGAATAAATACTAGACAGATTTTAGCCACTGGTAATGTCTCGATCTTATGGGAATTAAGAATAATTGAAAGGTTTTTGTTTTTACATAATGTTACAAAATGAAATTAAAAGAATGATAGATTAAAAAAATACTTAATAATATCTGATTACAGATAAAATGTGAAGGTGTAATGTTAAAAGATTGAGATTTGATATTGTTCTCTTTCTCTTTAAAAAAAGAGAACAAAAAGAAAAAAAATGATTGTCTTAGCATGTTAAATAACAGTTCAATATAAGAGAAATGTGAAATTGGCACACTGTTATTAGGATAGGCGCTAGGTAAAGTATTGCAAGAGTTTGCTTACTTTAATTCCCGTTCAAATAAGTGTCAACTGTCTTCTTATTGAAACCAGATACATTTATTCTATTATATACATTTCTGCTTAAACCATTAACTATTCAGGACTGTATCAAATATATCATGATAAATATCATAGAATAGTTGTTCGAATCTTAAACCATCATTTAAATATTCTTTAGATATTTAACTCTTTGAGTATTTGTGGGTACAGAATGTTTGTACAAATCCAGATGTCAATCACGGTACATACACTTATACTTAAGTTAACAATAAAACTTAAAGGGCACAATATGCCTCAGATCAACGGGCATATCCGTGTCTGACCATTGTCTGCACTGTTCGCTACTCTTGTCAGTTCATATGTTGAAATGTTCCATTAAATAACAAATGAGGTTGACCAGAATGGCAGATTGATGAGTCTAAGATGTTTAGCGGTAATATACAAAATAAACCGTTGCCTATGGGTGCACATTTCTTTGTTGGACGAACAGCAAAACAGGTGACCAAATTATGTCAGTACCGGTGAGGACTTACATAAAATGTTTCATAATTTATATTAACATTAACATATTTAAACATTTTTTTACTAAAAAATAAATAACACGTTATATGTTTCGAACATTCATATATTTTAATCTAAATTCCAGATTGTATTCAACCGCACTAAAGTAAACAACATCTTTCAGTTCAACATACATACACATGAATAAAACAAAACTATTGTTGGCCTTCTGTACACTAATTTGTAATTCTTCAATAAAAAGAACGTAATGGAGATGTCATTATCAACATTGGATACACGTTCTAAACTTAACTTATTACTCAATCTCAAAACAAAAGCATTAAGTTTATGAATATATCAAGACATCTCCTTTCAGGCAAGTGTTTAAAGACAGAAAAGCGATTAACAGGGGTATAATCATTAGCATAATGTTTATCACTCTTCCTTGATGGAACTTCACAGCTGTTTATATTTTCTTAAATTGTCTGAAAATTACTTTTAGATGAGAAATTTACTTCATCTGAATCAAACGTGTTTTTTTCTAAATGGTGTGTTGTGCATCGTTGCAAAGTAAACATTTAAAAGACATTTAGGTGTCATTTCAGATGTTTGAGGAAAGTACATTTCAGAAAAATGTACATTTGTTTTTTGGATTCATCTCTGAACTTGCTGGGCAATTAAAAGCCTCCGAGAATTTCTTGAAGTGCGAAAGAGTACCAATTACTCTGAAAAAAAAAGAAATACGAAACAAATGATAGATTGGTAAAGTAATACATAATTGCATTTTTCTGACATTGTCTAATAATAAAACAAAATATAAATATTGCCTTTTTTTCTGTGATGATAATTAAGGTATGACCATCCTAATGCCTCACCTCTGCTTTGAAGAGTATTCAAATAGGCTAGAACTACTGTTAACTACATTGAAACTGAGGGTCACGGGTTCAAACCCCAGATGTGTCAACTTTTTTTCTTTCATTTTTTTTCTTTTATTATTATTTATGTATCTCTCCATCCATTTTGGGAAGAAGAAAGTGTTTGTTTTTGATTATTTAATTTATATTGGTATTTATTGGCTAAATAATGCTAAAGCTACTAATAAATATGGTACCTGATAATAAAATCAAAACTAGACGGTAAAAGTATTTAATATTTTACATGATCAACAAATATACTTCTTTAAAAATTTAGAGAAACTTTGAAAGCAGTCACTCATTTGGGTTAATTTTAAGGATTTTTTAAATTAGGCTCCCTAAGTAGAAAAATGGTCAAACACGTGTTGAAAATGGGTAGGGTAGGGTAACATTTTTAAGCATATTTTATAAATCTGTAGTAGAAACCACAATTTTGTTTATGTGGATTGTTAGCTGAATGGTACTATTTGTTTCGTACGAAAAATTAATACAAAAACGGTTTTCATTAGAATGTTATTGGTTCCTCATTTCTGCAAAAGGGCCCTCAAAACACCCTAGCTTCAGTTCAGAAAAGTGGCCATAACTCGATTTCCGTACGATAAATTTTGTTTAAATTTGTTTGCATACAGGTGTACTCTGACCTATGATGTCAATTTTTCAGTTCCTTATAGTGCCCGTTAGGGTGGTCATACCTCAATGGAATAATACTGTTAACTGATTCTCATTAAATAATAACACCATATGGGGGGGGCTTTTTAAAAACCTTAAAAAAAAAAAAAAAAAAAAAAAAAACCCAATATTTTAACCCCCCCAAACCCAAATTTTTTAAAAATTTTTAAATTTTATTTTACCAATTTTGAAATATAACATATATCATAATATATTAATATATGTTAAAAAATACCTGCTATGTTTTATAAATCAAAGGTAAACCTCATATATTCCGAATGTAATTACCTATATTTGCCCGGCGAATGGTGCGTTAACGTGTTATCAACGTAATATTGTAGCGTGCCCCGCTTACTTGCCTTTTCACACATACTCTGTGAAGATTAAAACAAAGTTAAGAAGGTCAATAATTGACATTGTATTCAAAAGAGCGTAAAAGTCAAATAAAAGCACATAAATAAACTGCAAACGTGCGTGCAATTAAACAATTGAATTTCAGATGCAGTGAAAAAAGGCATTTTTGTATTTTCTAAGATGCATTTTCTGAGATATTAGTCTACTTTGAAACGTTTTGTCTATCAGTTAACCTTGTGAGATTTGTTATATTATAGCAAGAATTGATGAACTTAATGTCGGACCGACCACCCTTTATCTCTTTTTTCTCTATATTTTATTTTGAGCATGGAAACAATGTGACACTGATAAGCAACGGAAAAAATTAATTGCAAATATTGTTGTCACTATACATGATATTTTGAGCCAGAAAAATAAGAAGGAAAAAAACACAATAAGCAACCACTATGTTAAATCGCATGTATTATCTGTAGTCGCAAAAAAAAGTTGTAAGTCTGAATTGTATAAGCTTGCAACTATATATGATACAGTATATGCTCGTTATCAAAGTAACTCAAATACATTGAATAGTAAAGGTTTGTAGTAAATGATACAATGATGGCGTTTCTACACAGCGGTATATGTATTCGCTGAGTACTCCTAAAATATTTCATATATTTCTTTACATTTTTTGCTCTGATTCTTTACCATATTTCATCTTATTTCTTTAGCTTATTTTGTCTATATTCTAACTTCATTTTTTTTATTTCTTTCAATTATTTTACCTTTCTCTGTACCTTAATTAGTCTATTTCTTTGCCTCATTTCATCTATTTCTTTACTTTATTTTATCTAATTCTCTCTGTTATTTTATCTATATCTTAATTTTTTTTATCTATTTCTTTACCTTTTTTCAACTTTTCATAAGTTAAACATAACATATATACAAAATGTAAAACTGTTAAATCATATAATATCATGCCGTTCGTAAAATACGTAGTATTTTCTTATGAAAAGTGTTATATTCTCGATATAAACAAAACATTAAACTTATATACGTGACAGCAAATCGTCTCGAAATATATCATATTTCTTAACCGGTCTTCTAATTGAATCAGATTTTGAACTGTTGAATATATTTCGTCTTCCATTTCTTGGGATTTTAACCCCAAAGGACATTTAAAACAAGTTTAAATGATAAACTTCAATCTTTCGAAGACAATGAATGACTTATTTATACTGATATAATTTGCCAATTACAATTGACATAGCTATACAGTAATGTTATTTTCAAGAATTAACGTTGCCTATAAGAACGTTTAGAAAATATTCTTTTATCTTAAGTATTTCTGGAAAACCAGTTTCCAGAAATATCGAAAGATTTCCTCTAAAAAAGTAACACGATTTGAGTGAAGTCTTAAGAAAATATACCATTTGATTAAGTATACTTATTATACGGGACATACGTAAATATATATGTATATTTAACTTTCGTTTGTTGGACGTACCTGTGCATACGAAAGAAAGAATAGCTGATGCTGAGTAAATGTTACACCTGGAATGTTTAAATCCACATCGTTGTTTTCCCATGTTTTTGAAAATGTCTGAAATTGTGAAAATGTGCATTTTCACAAAATATCATTTAATCAAGTTTATTTCTATATTGATTGTAGAAAAAAGGAATTTGAATAATGTTTAATGAACAAACAAAACATGTAAGAATTAAATTGCTGAGTTTTTACGAATGTCTATAGAATTTTACATATTCGTGTAATAAACTTATGTTTGAAATAAATAAAATAAAAAACGCTGAAGTAAAATTGAAACTTACATCATACACAACCCGTAGTGCAAGACTATCCTTAAAGTTTGCACTTTTTGTAAGATCTGCATGGATCTGCAAAAAAGTAACATTCAGCAATGAAACGGATTGAAAACATTAATTGTTTGTATAATTAAAGCATTAAAGTTTATTAGCTATAAAATTCTTCTGTCATATGTACAAAGTATATCATGACTGAACGAACTGAACATTAAACCATTTGTTATATGCATGTTACTGCTGCAAGATACCTGACGAAGTTCGATATAATATGATCGATATATAAATTACTTCGTTGCTAAATATCTTAAAATGACTTGTTTGACACAATTATTCATCGGATATAGGGACAATTTCAAAATAAATACTAGCTTGCAGAATCTACTAAGCTGGAATGGATGTTCCCAATGATCTAGGCTTGCAGTGGTTCAGTTGCCACAAGCAAGCTAAGTATCAGTTAAAAAGAGAGTCATACAAAACCAGCACATGCACTATTCACTTTTATTTTTACATCCTATAAAATGTAACAAATGTCTTTCAAGAATTTATACCATGTGGCTCCAAATACAAAATATTATTGGAGACAGTCTATTCGATTCATCGTCGCCTTAATTTTCAGGTCAATAACTATCTATATCAAATCCATATTGTACTGTATCTAGTCTCTTCTTTTTATTTTTCAAGTGCAACAATTCAAATTATAATGCATACTGTATTCAATTTTGCCAAAATTTCATTTATCAGGTCAAACGAAATTCCACATTGAATCCATACCAGCCCCCATTCAAGTCATTTTTGAGGCAAAAAAAAAATGTATAATTCTATTTTTAGTTTTATACAAAAACACGGTTGACTTTGAGTATTTTGTTTAATGTTAAAAATGATGATACAAAATATAAAGAGATCATTAATATATATTTTTGCATAAAAGGCTATAAAAGTTTCAAATTGTGAGTGTTGATGTTTACTTCATACTACATTACGATTTGTACTTTCTTTTAAGGTTAAAGAAACTTACATGGTCTTGTCGGCCGTCTACTGATAGGATAGGATATTTATTGTATTCGTCTAAAAGACATTGCAATCGAACAGCTATGGTAAGTGCAACCTTGTGGTCAATTTTGTCCTCTGTCAGGAACCGCAATAGAGCTGAAATTATTATCGATTTATTCCAATGGGTAAATTTTAACAAAGACGGAATATTTAAACGTTAAAAAATAAATTTAATACCTAAATTATCACGAGTTTTCACATAAAATGTCAGCCTTTGGTTTGAGGCGATATTGTGTTAATTAAAATTTTACAAAATGTTTAAATCGAAATTGTTATATCATCATTTATTTAAATTGTTTCAATTTGGAAACAAATGACACTTGGTGGGAAATTTAAATCATATGTAAAAGAAACAATGTTTTCAAGCATTAAGTTAATCAATTTAGAGAATTTAAATACTTTCGTTTGCAATGAGAATTTGATGGTAAGTGTTTTGAACGAAAACGAAAAAAACAGTCAATTCGACAGAATAAGTCAGATAAAAAAAGTACTCTTGATCAGAGAGATAATGCGTGCCAAGATTACAGCAGGAAATTTGTTGACAATAAGTGATCAACCTATTTGTAAAGGAAATCTATTTTCCTGGGGACCAAGATGATTTACAATCAAATTGTTCTTCGATTAGTTTTCGTTTTCTTGTGATATTATGTTAAAGCCGACGATTACAGCTCGGATATCTAATTACCTTCAATGTCAAATAATTGTGATATTGCTTGCGAAATATACGTTCCCATGGAGCCAAACCATAAACTAGGAATAGTTGAAGCATACATAAATGGCACTTGCATCACAGATAGCGGTATATCTGAAAATGTTCGTACAATAATGGTAAATAAAAATGTCAGTACATGTTCGGGTAATGAATAAAAACATGAGAAACAAACAATTAGTATTTAGAGATTGAAGGTGTCTATAATATATTTTCTCGTGTAACTGATATATAAGCATAGAAATTGAAATGTATGATCTAGGGGGAATCTGGGACAATTACTAGAAATTGTAAATTAGGGGAAAAGACAAGTGCATAGTATTTTGGTTTGCCGTATTAGCACAATTGTCTAGAAATACTTACCAATTTCTTTATCTATCAAAAATAAAATCGATGAATCCAAATTTGTTAAAACTCGTTGTGTATGTCCACTTAGATATCTTCTTACACTGTAATCGATCATCAAATGCATATTTTTAAAATAATCATCGCTCACATTTTGCATATTTGAAATCAAAGATGCATACACCGGGTTCTCCCACTCCAAATGCATCGTCAGACCTTGCAGTTCTGTTAACAAATACTTTTTCTGCTTAATTGGTATCCAGTATAGATCTCTAATTACTCTTTCAATACTCGAGATTAAGTCTGTAAATAATCGCATCAGGGAGTCATTAAATTGGTCGGATATATGGTAAGGTATCACATAATACATGGGTAAATGTTTGGAAATTTGTTTTAGGCAGTCGTAGTCTGTCAAACGAGAGTACTCTCTCCCAAATAAGGCACCGTGATTCCAGGATATATTTTCAAACTGCGGCGTTTGATCAGGCAGTAAAAGGGCAATATCGCTGTCTATCAATACCTGCAGGATGATGAATTGTTTCAAGGTGGTGAAAGTAAATCCAGATAGCACATCAGAAAGTGATGTAGTCAGCGATGTCTTGCATATTGTAAAGTTATGAGAAAAAGGAGAGTTTCTAAAAAGTTTTGACAGGAAGCTGTGCCAGGAAATATTGTAATTATATTGTGATTGCAAGTCATCCACATGGAATTGGTGCTTGCATTGGGACATCTCATTTGGGAAGCTTGTTACATCTTCCATGTAGAAAACCTGTAAAGATAATATTTTTGATCAAATCAAGGAATATGGTTGTACGATAATTATTCGCAGAAATGAAAAAATAGTGCACTACAAATATTTAAATAATTGTGAAATTCGCGTTTTGAGAGTTACTGTTTTTATTGATAAAAACTTTTCTTGAATACTATCTTAAACTTATTTCATCATTTTTTTCAACTGTTTGACAACCTCACTGAAAATTACGCTTCCGTTATTATTCCTGAGGGTTTAATTGTTTTATTAATGACAATAAATTCCATCACGAATCGAGATACTTGCGTGATCCGCTGTTACCAGTTAGCAGTTAAGTTCTTTTTACTATTTACCAAAAATAGATGATTAAGATAAATATTGTAACATGTCAGGATGTCTGGTCAGTAAACTCACACCGTTATAGACCCCCTATGTGTGATAAATGAGTGATTAATTTCATATCTAGTTACCAAGCTCATATAAACATCACATAAACATTTGTTTTATGGCAGTCAATTATAGAAACGGTTGAAATGTCTCTTTATGAAACTATCGTGTTACCACATCTGAATTAACAGATGGCTTTTTACACATTATAGGCTCCTCGCCGTTTCTTAGAACAGTTAAATACTCAGACAAATGTATGAAATGTAAAATCTTTAATGTGCTATATAGCATTAAGTTTCGATCTTCTGTCTTGTATAATTGCAGACATAGTTTTTCTATCATTTATTTAATTGACGACACAATCGGAAATATGGACATAAATATTGTAGTTTTAAACATTTTTGTTTATTAAAATCACCTCATGTAATATGATGCATCCAAAATTTTATATTTTGTTGCATTTACGAAAATTAATTATGGAAATGAATAAAATTATAAGAATGTCGCTTTAAATCATTTTGCTTTTCAGGTTGCTGACTTTTGAATAAGCTACAAACCCATATCCTTCAAACTATACTTGCTTTTTAAACATGATTTGGAGCAATATGAAGCAAACTAAATCAAATTTTTATCATACTTTTACTAGACGCTTTTACTAGAAAGTTGCAAACAAATGTTTTTCATTGTAAATCAGTCCCAAAGTTTTTTTAAAAACATTACACACGCTTTTGCATTTCTTTGTTTAGACCAAACAAGAAAAGCTCTAATTAACATAATTTTAACCCGAAACACCAGTATTTCGCCCTATATTATTTGGGAAAAACTGTCAACTTACTCTGTTTATATAAACACTTAAATGATAAATTTCATCAACCATCGTCACAAATAGCTTATCACTGATCATTGTTGTATTGATCCCCATAATAAACGCTAGAAAGTCACTGATATATTTCTTGTATGCTTGGAGAACCTGTCAATAAAACAAAAGTTTTTTGTGAGTTACTCAGAGATGATTGTCCATTGATTGACTAATCTTAGAGACACATACTTTATTCTGTCAATGGCTCAAATATATTCTGGTAGTACAGTATCTGTAATATACAAAATGTTACAAATAAAATACGAATTTAATGAAGAGTTCACGAAATTAAAAAGCATGTCAAAATAACGAGTTTATAATTTTTAACGTCAGAAATGTTCATGATTATAATTTGTGAATTTTGAATCGCATATTCATGAAATTTAAATACTTAATTTGGGAAACTAAAATTGTGAATTCATGAATTTAGAAATCGTGAATTCACAATACCAGTAATTATCATTTTGAACAAATTGAAAAATAAAGTGAAACAGTGCATAAATTGACTGGTGAAGTATAGATAAATATACTTCATATTTACAAACGAATTTTTAATTACGTGGTCAACTATAATTGACACATGATTTAAATTACTGACAGGAGAAGATTTTTCCATTCCGTTCTCAGTCTGTGCTTTTATTAATTATTTTGATTTATGTTGACATTGTATATGTTTATATCCGTATAATAATGTATATGTTTTAACTAACACTTAAATGGACGCGAGAAAAGTTTCAAGCTTCGTGTGGTCTCCGGGACAGCTTCAGTCAAACTGAATCATTGCAATTTTTACGTAATCACTATCTAATTTATTTTCGAAAATCTTCACTTCTTACAAATTACTCACGATTTTATCCATAAAATAAACAACAAAAAACAAACAAACAAACAAAAAACAAAAGACAGATCAACATATAACATGTTGCATACCGAGTCAGGTCTCCTGTCTCTATAAAGAAGTTCACTTGGGCTTGAGGAATCGGCTAATATCTGTACTTATATATATATATCACACACTATGTCATCACACCTCGTCGTGTGGAGTGAGTGCATACAAACTCATCTCCAAACTTTGAACAAGCAATAATCTATAGACTCGATTACGAAACTAATATAATATTATACCTCTAAGCTGCGCTCCTCCTAATACACATCACGACCACTTGAAATATATACAATGTAATGCATGGACCGCAAAGTGGCCGATTGGTAAAAACTTCAACAACTCATTGTCAAACCCATAATAACTTAACATATTTATAAACATATTATGCATTTCAATATACATTATCTGTATTATCCATACAGACAACTGTTTTTATTTCTAAAAATATAATTCTTCAAACACTTACTATAATTTTAATAAGCCTTTTTTATATGTATGCATTGGTTTTGTTTAAGGAGAGGACTATCATGAGCTATTGCAGCTCTGGTCCAATTACTTTCTGCTTTAATGTGTAAATTATCAACATGTGTATATATCTTGAATCAAAATATCTTTTTAACTAAAACCTTACCAAAATTCTCCCATCTTTCTTTACATTCATTTCAAACAGTGGCGATATTCCGTATTTGAAGTTGACCTCTAGTAATAATGACGTCAGGATGAGCTGTTTAGTCCTTTTGAATGATCCGAATTCAAATCCACCAAGTGAATCTATCACTTGCTTTACTGGAAATAAAGGAATTGGCATGATATGGTAACTCATAAAATATCGCATTGACACCTGTTTCACACTTTCTACTCAATTGAAATGGATCTGTAATCCAACGGTAACGCACTGTTCCGGTAATAAAGGCATCGTTGTTTCGATCACCAATATTAATAGTCATGGTTTTTGGGTGAAAACAACGATTCGAAGTCTCATGAATTTATTTTCCACACAAGCAGTTTAATAGGAGCAGTCTCGCCTGTGACAGTGTGTCACCTTTTTCTCCGGGCAAAAGACAGAACACCGAACAGTCTTTAAGGACATCGCAGAATGAGCAACAGAAATGCCGCAGCAAATTAACCGAAAATTATTCTTAAAAAGCGGTGAAGAATTCAGATCATCATTTCCAGGGTAATGTTTAATGGATGTACAATTATATCTGTATGGTTATGGGGGTTGCGTTCATTGAACGCCGCCTTTCCTTGTTGATCTTGTTTTTCATATTTTGTACTAACGAGGTATCTCTACGTTGAACGCATGATCGGTATATTTTCTTGATGATTTTAACTTCATCTGCATCAGATCTCTGTGCCTCATCTGATAGAATGTCTGATGTGATAAATAAATACTTTATGAATAAAAACTTTTTTTCAATCTATAAGAGGACATTATCAAAGTAGCTGTTAATGTACTTACCATATTTCAAATGAAAGAAGTAATATAAAATGTTTATTTAGTATTTTGTATAAACTATTGAAATATTTTGTAATATTTATATCAATGTAAGTGTTCTAACAATTTCAAATTCATTGTTACACTTAGTAGTATCTAGATATATTTTTGAAGATACAAACAACAACATAATCATAGGAACATAGAATAATAGCAGAGCCATTGTTTAGACATGACAATAAAAACAAAACCTAATTTAGCATAAGAATATTTAATACTAAGCATGATTCCTTTTCTTATGTAGGTAGCCAGCTGCTTAAATGCACAGTGTAAGATTATGTGTTGTAATTTAGTTTTTCATTACCAAGAAGCATTTTATCGTGTGTTTCTAATATAATATCCGGGTTCATTCTTTTCCTTGGCGAATTCCAAGATAACCGGACTTTGTCCATATAACCTCCACATGCATACGAGTAAAAGTCCTAAAATGAAAGCAAACTTATAAAACGTTCTCAAATTGACATGAACATTTCTACGGATTATTACAAACTGCAATGGTGGAAATAAGTTATATAATTAAACAATTTCAATGAAAAGAAAATGTTATATTGAAAAAAGATTTTTTTACACATTAAGCATTATAAGTCCTGCACCGCTGTTGGTTCGAAACTCGACGGAACCTTTGATTTTTTCATGTGAGAAAACTTACAAGCTTGCTTACGCAAGGATGGTGATTCTACTCAGGTGCTTGTTGCTGAGGTCTTCCTTCCCCAGAATATATCTTCAAAGTGTCAGCATGACTTTAAATCCAAGACGAACAACATAAACAAGCGAATACTATGGTAACACTCACCTGACATGGATCCACGCTGGTATTTATTCTACTGAGTAAATCTAACCTACTCCTCATACAAATGTCATCATTACACGTCTGTAATAAAAGAAGAAAGACTCGTATGTTCAAATCAGAAGAGCTACTCTAACGCTATGACTTATGTATTAAGTCAACGTAGTAAAAATGCCTTTTTAACAGGTCACATCACACGATTTGCATAATTATTATAATTACCTGTGTGCAGTACTTATTTATAAAATGGCATGTGTCACAAAGCAGAACAATTTTGTGGTAATTATAAAAGTATTTCGATTCTGTTGACAATATAAAAATTATAACTGCCAAATGATATTTACAATTCAATGAAAAGGAAAAGAGCAATAATGCAATATGACATACATGGTTTGAAGAAAAACAACATAACACACTAAAGATTATTTTACAGATGAATCCAAGACAATCATAAAAAATAAGTTTCATACAGGATATGATAAGGCAGAAATGAACATTCTTAAAACGGCCTCCAGACGAACTCGGGGATTTGTGTCAGAATGGCACGATAATGTTGGAGAGTTATGTGAATAATTAAACAAGTTTGATAATTACACGAACACCACTACAACGACAAAATTGTTTGATTGCTCACGTAGCTATTTTTAGATTCTGCAAGAAAAAAACACTATGGCATCGTAAACAGTGAATACACTTATAATTACATATCTTCTCGAACAGATTCCCTTCTGGCTAAAGGTTATCTTATTTTCCCTCCGTTTATAAGTACAAAATCATAATAATAGTTTTTACTTCTTACATCATAGTATCTGGACATAAAGCATAGATGTGTTTGAAGAATTTTCTGCCAATTCTTTTACCGTTATATAAAAATTTGAAGAAGGAAAAAGAACGCATGTGAATATAGCTTTTTTACAATAAAGTAAATGAAAATATTTAGAATCCTAAATATTGGTAAAACACAGTTAAAACTTTAACAAAACAGTTAAGGTTTTTTGAAATATATGGTTAAATTTTGAACCTTCCTGTTACTACTTCGATATTTTTAAAAGCAATGTCTACGAGATTTGTATATTCCAAACATGAAAACGGAGATCTATTATGAATCTTAACCTGAATATTTAATCCATTTACAGTAAGGGTTTGCTATGAAAAAAATGTTTGAACATCAAATGGCAACCAGAGAGACCTTCACATTAGTTTAAACATCATCTCAAAGCCTTCAAACTGAAGTAGGTCGGTATATATATTTTTATAGACAAAATCGTATCATTCTGTAAATTCTATTCAAAACAATAAAAAGTATTGGAGTAATAATATTAATCATTCTGTAACAAATATTATAAGTTACAACGAAAGAAGAGTTTTGCAAATAATGCTTGGTCTTCACTTATATCTAGGAAACTAATTATATATGAAAAGAGAAATTACGCTCGGCTTTCTGTTAAAAAAAATACAGATATATTATGACATTTAATCATAATACGAAATTGTAGAAAACGCATAGTTTATAAATAAAAATTTTAAGCTAAACTCAATTGAAACTTTAAAATATTGTTTAAATTATCTTTTATTAAGATAATAAACTTAATTATAACACAACGTAAATCTAAATATTACATTAAATATTTCTGCATTATATATGCTATCTGAAAATCTTGACCATATTTAGTAATTGTTAAATGGTATGAATATTCAATATTTTCATTTTGTACAATCATTTACTTTTAAATTTCACATAATCATACAATGCAATTCAACTACTTTACACTGGGAAATCCATATATTTAACCATAGTAAAATACATGTGTATTCACATTTTAGTTGAACATATTTTTTTCTGAGATTAAAGTTTAAAGTTTCTTTTTTCCCCATTTCGTTAAAGTTTAAATAATAATATCGTATATCTTAAAGTAAGCAAACATAAGAAAAAAACGTTTCTTGCATATTGAAATCTTCATCAAAACTTCGATTATTCAGAGAGAGAAAAAAACAAACAAAACAATCTTTATCGATTATCACAGTTAACCTCTAATGTCTTTTAGAATTAAAGGGCTTTTTTCAATTGACATAAACGGAATGTTATATTTATTTTCCTCTGAGATCTACATTGCAATCAGTATGAGCTCTAGATAGAAACACAATTCGCTTAGATTTCAATAGTAATAGTGCTTTATTTTAATTTAAAACAAAATGATGGCACATTAACCGGCGTTATTTTCTAGTGTATCGATTGTAAGAATCTTCCGCGGAAATGATTTATTTTCTCAGACTGTTAGTAGTATCTTTAGAACAGTTGTTCGTTTGGAGGTTGGTTCCGAAAGTAATAAACAATCGTGTCAGTATAGTATAAGAAAACCAGTAAATATTGTGATTTATGGCAAGTACTTTGAAATTCAATAAAGAGTACAAGCTTATGCTAGTATTTCTTATGCTAGTATTCAAATTAGATTTATATCTTCACTAGAAAAGGTTGATAACCAATTTAGTACTAATGCAAAATTTATTTGTTCTGTTCTGTCTAAATTGGTATGTACTTATACTCAAGAAATTACAGTGAAACAGCTACTGTATTCTATTCTTCAGCAATGCCATATAACTTGATGACTTTATATTTTATAAAATTTAAATTAGATTTCATCCATCCAAAATAAATTCAGCGAATTAAAAATGACGCATTACACTATAAAAGTGTCGTTGTTCAGCATTTATCTTGATTAAAGGGAACAAAAGGAATCGTTTTCAAAAACTAGTTTTACATAAACCTTTGCTAAAATGACTTCTCCTGTGTGATCCTTAATGTATATTTTTTATTAGTAACATGTACCTGAAGTGGTATATTTTATCAATTTAACTTCCCCTTTATTTGAAACAAAACAATGTAGAACAATTAAACACAAAATTAAAATAAAACTGAGTGAAAGCATATCCTTTCAAAAACAGTCAGATATGGGTACAATTTGTAAACATACATTACAATACATTCATAGAATTAAATTGTACCAAATACAAATATTTCAAAAATATTCATGAAGAAGAAGTAACAAATACATGGAAATACAAAGAATACATTGATTTACCTTAACAGGTGGTGTTTCTTTCGTGCACTTTACATTAATCGGTGCTATATAACCGGGTAGACCTCTATCATTAGTTTTATCAGACACGGTTTCCTCGTCACTCGAGAAGACAAATCCTTTGGTTGCAAGTATTACCACTGTGACGGTCACAATCAACGAAACTGTCAATAGAAAGTTCCAGAAGCAGCAGCATCTTTCTCGTCTGGACCAATATGATCCCCATCTGTCAATGGTGGTTGTTGACAAAGCAGGTGAACACGATGTTACTTTTCCATTCAAATTTTTCAGGTCAATGAGGTCACTGTTGTAGGGGTCACGGAAGAGACAGCTGTTCCTTTCAGAGCAGATGGATTTGTTGTCGTCGTTGGACCCGTCAGTAGAGTAGACGGCGTATCTTTCTGTTGCTATAACTTCTGCTGGCATGTTGTTAACCACGTCTACTAGCTTGCTTTTTTCTAAATTAATTAAAATATAATAACACTTAAATATTATAATTGTCAAGTGAAATGAAACAAGAAACAGATTGTTTGTAAAAATATGATACTAATTAATACGCTGACATTGAAATGTGTGTTAAATTCTAACAGACGGGAAAGTCAAAGTAAAGTAATATGAATGTTGACCATTTGAATTTCACCCGAGTGTGCATGAATATTAAATATTTCAATAAAAAATGTTGTACAAATGTTCCTGACTTTGATGTAATTATGAATTGATTACATTTGTGTGCGTTCTTCTTTAAAGAATTTTATTTTGTTTATTAATCTTTTTGTAAATCTCTGTTTATCAATAGTATCGTATATCTGTAACGTTCGAGATGTAAACTAAAATCATTGCATGTCTACTGACAGAAAATTATAAGGTATAAACATCACATTGTAATGTCAGCTTCTTCGAATTTCGTTACATAATATTCTAAAAAGCAAAATCAGGATGTGTTCAGACAATATTGACGTATTATTGCGTTATGATTGGTATTTTTATCAATTTGCCATTTCATTTAATCAAAATGTTTGAAGGAACATAACAAACTTCGACATGTCACGCACACTGGTTTCCTCAGATACCTTAATAAATCTCAAATTTTCATTTCGATACAATGATTAGACAACGATTGGGTTTTAGCAGTGAGTTTTATACTTTTATGGAAGTAATGTTAGCACTGATGGAATAATTAATTATTTGCAGATTCTTCCTCAAGATTGTAATAAAAGACGCTATTGATGTTGAACTAACACTGAGCACGCCAGAATTGTTGTGAGATAAAATGTTAAATATCAAATGCAAATATTGTTATGAAATAAATTGAACTGTTTAAGTAACGTTGAACATGCCAAACAAACCTGGAATGAAATATGAAATGTTCTGAAACAGAATCATTTATTGAAATAAAATAGTCCCGTAGAAAACATTTTGAACAAAGTACATCATTTCAACTGTCTCCGCGCCAACTGCTTTGTACATAGATATATTTTTGTGTCGGGTTTTATTCCGTCTAACTGGAAGCGTCGTGTGAGTATCAATCAATGCATTAAGGTCAATTTTATAGAGCCTACTTTTTTCATGCAGCCAACTAGCTTTGAAGCTGCCTCGGATAAGAAGATATAGCGCCCTTTGCGCCGTAAACTAAGTTTACGCTGCATAGTTCATTTTGGTGGCGAGGGCTGTTGTAGACGGTGATTGCAAAATCTTACTATCAACGTTATGGCCAAAAGAAGTTTTTTTTTGCATATACTTAACATAATCGCATTATCAAATTTTTAAGGTATACATAAGTTGCTAGTTTATAATGGGACGTTTTATATTTAAAACATTAGCATTGTAAAACGCCTAACCGACGGAATGTCATTTAGTTTTTGAAATGAAAAGAAAGTATTATTATTTTACTTCTTCATTTAACAAATTCGAAACATGGCTATTCTCTTGAATCCTTTTGAAATATTTAATTGTAAACATCTCCACAATTTAAATGAAGTCAACTGAGGTCCAAAAGTAAAAAGATCTGAAAATTTGCGCACAACTTAAAAGTATAGACTAAGATTTAATGAAACATTAATCTAGAAAAAAGAATTCCTGTCCTGTCATGTCAAAAAAACTCAGTGGAGTTCCTTTAATTATTCATCACATATTTATATTTAAGCTTTATCTTAATACTAATGAAAATCTTTAGAATCCTACAGTTTGTCTCCCTGAAATACATTTGATAGTACTGCACGTTTGTAAGTTCGTTTTTCATTACATAATCCTGCGGTTTATCGAATTTATATACACGGTACATGAACATTGCTGCATAAACGAAAGTATGCTGTGTTATAACTTCGTAATTTAAATTTTGGTTGGTTTTATGGTCGTACAAAAACGGTTTTGAAATAAAAAAAAAAACACTCGCCAAGCGGTTCGGGTTATATAAGTGTATAGCCGTTTTAATATATAGATCACTTTCAAAAATAAAATCTTAGTAATTGATTAATTTAGGTAATTCTATAATTATAACTATATATCAATAAAAAGTTCTTGCGTATATATTGTTTCTTAAACCTATGATGATGTCACGTGAAATTTTATTACTGTCTATAAAATAGATTTTATAACTCAAAGGTCAAATATTACTTTAACAGATTAGCTTGGGAACCATATTAAGTCTAACAGGTTAGTTCAAAACCCACATTGACTATAACAGCAAAGCCGAATAATCACATATCAACTATCAAACTGTCTGAAAAAATGTCCCATAAATTCATTAGTTACATCGCAACGAACAACTTAAATAACAACTCGCATCTGATACATCTATTAACTGGTAATTATGAAAAGACACATTAACAGTTACAGAGCAGATCAAAAACTACATTTCACTCAAACAGATAGATAAACTGTCACACATTTTTACTGGTTGGCTCAATAGCTTTCTTTTCCAATAGAAACAAACTTAATAATCAAAATTAATTGGTCATATGTGTAATCTTTGTATCGACAATTTTAAAAATAGATCTAAAATGGTATTATTATTATCATTTGCAATTTTTTTTTATCTTATCTTTAATGGCCTGTTATAATGGTTACTCATCGGCTATATAGCTTAGCTGAATATCGCTTCCTTTGCTTTTCGTCAATAAGTATAGGTATAGTGATAAGTATTTTGTATGGATGTCAAAATATCACATTATTTCCATTTTGCTAACTTAATCAGAAATCGTTTCACTAACGGCGCTATTCTCCAGTCAAAGATCGAGGTGGTAAGCATTAAAAATATTTTAAGGCATCATTAAAATGAATTGCAGCATTGTAAAACACCCGTTTGCTCTTAACAAGCTGTTGTTCCCTGATTTTAAAAGTGCCCTTAACGCACCAATGCAAACTGCACATAAAATTAATGTATTTGTTAATAACAAAATAAACCTTCATTTAACTATTATATTGACATACCTATTTATTGCATTACCTTAACGCTCTATAATGAGTATTTATTCCTATCTCATTTAAAAATGAGGCTTAGAGACTTATACTTACCATTTATCTTCGAATATAATCAATTCTTTACAGAAACGATACAAACGGCTCACGCAATCATAAACGTATCGCAGTATACTATTACGCACAGTTTTAAGTGTTGATATGTCTACAATTTTTGATTTATTCGTATCTAACATCTGCTGATGCAATAGAAATTACGCTTACAGCAGTTATTAGCCTCATGTAGTAGTTTTTGGCCTCATATGGGATGTTCCATTCAGTTTCATTAATAAGTGTCTTATTTCATATTAGTCTTGAAAGTCTGCTGTAGCAAATAGTGAATCAATTTATAAAGTGGATATTAAGAAGAATATACAGAAACTTTGCAGAATTGTCAATTGTGACTCAAATTAATATACCACTATTTTCAAAAAACGAGAGCTTTACAAATAATCCGTCGCCTTTGATAATACTACTCTCATTCATTGGTGTTAATTGGTACATGTAATTTGTAAAGTTCTGTAAAATTTCACATATTCTTATATTGTATATAGATTTGTTAACATTAATTTCAAATGTTATAGGAAGCATATTTGTATCTTATACCTTTTCAAGTATCAGTCAGTGATGAAATTATCTGATTATAATGCATCATGGCTAAAAATATTCATACAACAATGGTTTATTATTGCAGAACAACACAATGTTTTACTGGATCATATATAAAATACAGCTTCAAATTAGCTTCCAATTATTTATAAAAAGGAGTTTCCGATTAAATTTATTAAAACAATATGTGCGAATAAAACCCATATATTCTAAACATTCAAATAATTGTATCTGTCCATTTAAAAAACATATAAAGAACTGAAAAAGATGCACGCCATTAATTGGTTACCTGGTATTCACGGGTCTTCTGACTTTAACAAGTCTTCAAATAATATGTATCTTCTTCTTCTTATACTAACTCCTCCAACATATCAATACATATCTGTAAATGAATTAATCCAATAACCTTCTTTAATATGCTCTATCTGAACATATCGATGTAGTGCAAAGTTTCGCGAACTTTTAACATCATATTCCAATACCTTTTGTTCAGCTATTTTCGTCGTGGTCTTAGTCCTTCTGTATCAACGTATTGGCACGTATTGGCGAAAGGATCCGTTAATCTGATCCATCAACCCTTTGCTGGCATTATCAGGAAAAATATAACTCTAACAAAATACTGGAGCGCAGACAATGTAAATCGATTGTCTAATTATCGCCATCATATCACCTTGGGTGCTTATTTCGCTCAAACGTCCCATAATGTACATGGAGGGATGTTCGTATGGAATTCCTATGATCGCATTTTCAAGACTGATTTAATGGATGCCTACAAAATTAACAATTGGTGAACGTCTCATTATGTGGGTGTCTTTCAGCTGTAACTAAATAAGACACTTTTATTCTGAATTATTTGTTTCTGTTCACATTGTAGTGCATGCAGTTATTCAAATTACTTTTTTTGAAAATCCATGTAATATTGCAACTGATGCAGGCTCTAAAAATTGCAAATAATTTTGCTACATTGATTAAAAGAAAAAAGACAATAAAATGTACAAGCAACTTTTTTAAAAATTTTACATGGGGGAGAGGTTAAACTGTTGATGTTTGTACTTCGGGGTTTTAAAAGTTTTAACTGATTTATACATTTACCAATTATTCATTTACGTAATTATTATGTTATTTACGAAGGTAGCTAAGATGCCATTTTTATCCCTTGCATTGTACAGTTGAGTGCAAATGGGGATTGATAGATAATTTGGCTAGATACTTGATGACCAAAGTTGAGCAAAATATTTTTAAATGTGTAAGTATATTGAAAATAATTGTAACATATATATGCTGCAAGAACAATCTGAAAAATAAAGATTTGCCACAAAATATTGACACATTAGGAACGTACCCTAATTAAAAATATTGAT